AAATAGAAAAAAAAAGATAACAGAAATTGAAAATTTCTAAAATATTTTTATCAATAAAAATATAAACAAACCAAATCGAATCAAACCAAATTTAATATAAAAACCGAATCAGTTATACATTTTCTTAAATCAAAATAACCAAAAACATAATCGAAAGGAAACCACATCATTCAGCCCTATTTTCACATACTTACGAAATAATTTTGTTAATATATTTATATATATATGGAGTTCATTTAATAAAATAAATATTCGATAATGTGTGTATATATATATATATATAAAAATTCATGGGCATTAGTACTACAATGTAGTCAAAAGCGAATGGTCAAAGGGTATCCTAGCTGGAAGACGTAATTAAACAATTGGCAGGAAGAAAAAGGGCTGCTGACGTGGCGAAACAGGCTTTTCAGTGTCCTGTCTTAAAGGACGAAACGGACATCTGTAAAAAAAATCTGTTGAAGAAACAAAAATAGTGAAATACGAATACCACTATTCGTATTTGTCCAATTATTGAGGGTATTCTCGTAAATTTAACCGTGTCGGTCCATCAACATTTTTTGTACGTATTTGTATATATTTTAATGTTCATCATTTATAGACATACATAAAAAAAAATCCATTTACGGATACAGAAACTTGCAAACAATTCCTTGAATGTATTATTTCTGCTATACCTAAAACAACCGAGGCAAAATCATTTCGCACAATATATAAACCGAAAACAAATTTAAATTTGGACGCATATGATTTTTATTAATTAAATTAATAAAAAGGAACACAAATTAAATATAAAAAACTTTATAAGTTTTGCGAAAACAAAAAATTATTTAAAAAATAAAGTTCTCTAATAAATGGAACATGAATGCAATGTAAAACCAATAGAAACCAAATATAAGAGAAGTTAAATAAATATAAGTTTAGATTTCAAAAATAAATAAATTGAAACATAAAATATCTCTGTCTACTTCTAAATTCTTTTTCTTTTTTTTTGAAAATTTTAATGACACATTTTATAAGTTTGGAAATTATAATCACACATTTTTCAAGTTTGGAAATAAATTTGAGTGTCTAAAAGTTTAAGGAATTTATTTTTTTACAATTTTACAAGTTCAATTTTTTTTTCTTCTAAATTCTAATACAAACATCCATTCAATTTTATTTTGAGTTAATATAACAATTTTTGGAGAACTCGTCCATTCGCACTCACAATCATGAATTTTTTTCTTTGGCAAAAAAATAAATTTTTTTGTTACTTTTTCAAAGTTTTTTATTTATTTTTTTTTCTAGTTTCGTGTTGGGGTTTCGTGCGATTCATTATGATGGAAGCATGTCAAACCATTTAAATATATATATGTGTGACATATATAATGCATGCATGGCTAAAAAGGTAAAAAAAAAAGACGAGGCTTAGGAAATGATTATCATTGGTTGTATCCTAAGTCCTAACCTTGGTATTGCAATAAATTATCATATATATATATATATATATATTCTTTTGATGTGAGATTTTGTGTAACATTTCGAGGTTTGAGATATGATCCTCGACAAAGTATATTCGATGCAGCGCTGAACATATAATTTAATCCACCACACCTCCCATGCATGCAAGTAATTTATTATCGAATTTTTTTGACCGGCTATTTAATATTTATTTATTATTGGATAAAACCCATAAAAAAAATTTGAAAATAAAATTTTAAACTTTTCGTTTAGCAAATTTTTTCTTAGACTTACAAAATATGTCAATATAATTTCCAAACTAATTTATAGACCATTATATGTCAATATAATTTCTAAACTAATTTATAGATCATTATCGTCGAGATTTCTTCGGACACCAATTAACAAGTTTGAAAATTTTAATGATATATTTTATAAGTTTGGAAATTATAATAACACATTTTGCAAGTTTGGAAATAAATTTATTACTCTAAAAGTTTAAGGAATTTATTTTTTACCATTTTAAAAATTCAATTTTTTTTTATAGGTTTTACCAATATTTAACGGGGATTATTGTCTTGTCCATCCTTTTAGACCATATAACACACATTCACACTAGGGATGGGCACGGGTCGGATACCCGGGAAAATCGAGAGATTTGGATTTGGATCCGGGAGACTCGGGTATTTAACTATAAGATTTGTATCCGGGATTTGGTATTTACGAGTATCCGGGGTACGGGTATCCGGAATAATAGTCGGGTACTCGCGGATATCCGGATCCGGATTTATTTAAGAAAAACAACAATATTCATAAATAAAATTTTTAAAACATGAAGATATATTTATAAAAATTGATGAATTATGATAAAATATATAAGACAAAAGAGATAATAAGAGACAAATAATAATAAATTTAATTTTTTTGAATTAATATTAAAAAAATGTGAAATTATTTCATGTAAAATAATTGTATTTAATAAAAATGTTATATAAATATAAGATATAATTATTTATAATCATAATACGCGGGTACCCGCGGATATCCGGTTTTAAAAATTCTATTATCCGGATTTGGATCCGGATTCACGGGTATTGAAAAATCAGTATTTGGATTCGGATTTGAAAATTACGAGTACCCTAAAATCGGGTATCCGTGAGACGAGTATCCAACGGATACCCGATTTTCGGGTATTTGTGCCCAGCCCTAATTCACACACAAAAATCCACATTGGTCCTGAGTTTATGAAGGTTAACGCATGTAATAGTTGTTCATCATATTCTCAATGAAATCATAAAATATTTACATATACGCGTGTGTGTTCATGTGTTATCGAACAATAATGAAAAAGGTTATATCTCGGAAACGTCATGAGATGTAATGATTTTCCTTACCACCGCCATGCAACTTACGTGATTGACGTACCCATATATATATATATTATAGTTTTAGAAGTCCGTGGAAAACCATGATGATGAGTTTTGATTTTTTAAATTCTGCAATTTCATCTTCTCTATCGGGGAGGGGCAAAAGAACGAGAAGAAAATTATAATTCTGTACTTTTGTTTGAGTAGAAATTATGCAAATATTCTTTTTTTTTCGATAACCGAATATTCTAAACCAAAATCTAGACTAATCTCGGATCAAATACATACCTTTTACCAAAAAAAAAAATCTAAACTAATCTCGAATCCGGGATAAATATATTCAATGTTAATATGTAAGTAGGCGAATAATTGCTTATAATATGGGATATTAAACTAATTTTGAGATCGGTCCAAATATACGCGTACAAAGAAATTATATAGCTTAATTTTATTATGATATATATATATATATATATAGCAACTGATAGCCAACGTAAAATAAAATTATGCAGATATTTAGACGAAATTAACTATATACTATGCGTTCTTCCATAGCTCGAAAATCGGATAGTTTTGTTATCCTTGAGTACTATTTTACTCTTCTGGTTTTTCGAAGGTATAATATAAAACAATATGATAATTTGAATTGTCGTTATAAAAAGAAATATGTACGTATGTACCCGCGCATATACACACATACGCACGTACGTACGTTTTCACCGTTGAAAAAAATACAAAGGTATATATATATATATATAGATTAGATCCTAACCGTGCAAATGAATCACGTGTATGCGTGCATGTATATATACACCTCGCGCATATGTGGATTGGAAGTTCGTCAATATTTGTAAAAAAAATAAATAAATAATGAGAAAACACGTATAAAAGTTGATAGCTTTACAAAAAGGCATGAAAAAGGTTTTAACTTTTTTTTTTTGGTTTTTTCAAAAGGATACGAAATCTCCATAGGATGCCTCCAAAATCTCCGAGGTCATGCATTACAATGCATGGGGTTAGTGTTTGAAATCATATAATCTACGTGCCCTTTGCCTCGTTCATTATATGTATATATATATATATATACACATATATATGCTATGATTGGTGGCTCTCTTCCCATGAGTGGATTTCATTACTATATATTTTGAAAAAAAAGCTCCACCCCTTTTTTCTTCTCTAGCATTCATTTTTTTTTTGATAATCGGGTGATCCCAAGCCCAAAGGCCCAGACTAATCCCGACCCACGCACACGACCCTGCAACACACACGTGAGATGTGAAACACATGAAGGTGGCAGGAGGAAAATATCCATACTCTGGATGTTGAACCCATATAAATAGAATCTAGACAACATATATATATATATATATATTTGGATAAACGAGTGTAAACCAAGATCCAAACTATTGAAATCTAGAACCATGTGATTTGGAATATATATATATATATTCCTATGGGTAATCGAATTTATAAATCAAGGTTCAAACTAATTTCCTAGTCAAAGACCGACTATGTAATTTGGAATATACGATCCTATCTAAAACACATTTTATGTCCATTTAACTGATTGAATTATCAAAGTTTGGATGCAATATATATATGGAGTTCATGTGATAACAGAGTGTAACCCATATTCCATGACTCGTTTGGCATTTTCTTCACATTTGGTCATAAAAACAAATCTCAAACCTCAACAAGGTTATCATGCGTTCCATATCTCACTTCATAGCTTATCCTATTGTTCATTTAATCATATGTAGTGTTTCCTATGGCGATGACCCACTTAGGATAAGATTGAAAGCGAGGAAAGATATAGAAAACAAAAAAAAAAAAACATTTAATAAGTTTAATAAAGACTATATAAAATTCTGCCCCTTAAATTAAATATATATATATATATATATATATATATATATTTAATTTAAGGGACAAGGAGATATAAATGGAAGGGAAATTAATTAAGAGGCCAATTAATGTGGGGGAATTACTAGTTTTGGTTCCCATTTTTGCAACCGCTGTCCTTTCTTTTGCACTTTGGTGACAATCTTAGTACTAACAACTAAAGACTTTGACCGGTCTCCTAACCCCTCAATCACGAACGCATATACATACACACATACACAGATAGGCATGTATGTATACATACATACAAGACCCCCTATACCCCACAAACCCTTTCTCCCCCTCTTTATCCAACACCCACCAAAACCCTTCTCTCTCTCTCTCTGGAAAAGCTGTGCCCTTTCTCTCTCTAGTTCTTGAAATCTCCTTCAAGGACATGACTGATCCATCAGGAGGAAACCACGGCGGCGGCGTGGCGATGAGAGAGTACAGGAAAGGGAACTGGACGGTGAGCGAGACGATGGTGCTGATAGAGGCCAAGAAGATGGACGACGAGCGGCGGCTCCGGCGATCCATCGGCCTCTCCACGGCGGAGCAACACGACGGAGGACGAGGAAAACCGGCCGAGCTCCGGTGGAAATGGATCGAGGATTACTGCTGGAGAAAAGGGTGTTTGAGGAGTCAGAATCAGTGCAACGACAAGTGGGACAATCTGATGAGAGATTACAAGAAGGTCAGAGAGTACGAGCGGCGAAGTGTAGAATCGTCTTTACACGTACCCGAAGACTCGGCCTCGGCCTCCGCCTCAGGCTCTGCCTCTGCCTCGTCGTCGTCGTATTGGAAGATGGAGAAGAGCGAGAGGAAAGAGAGGAACTTGCCGAGTAAGATGTTGTCTCAGATATACGACGCGTTAGTTGAGGTTGTGGAGAAAAAGGGTTTGTCTTCCACCGTCGCCGGAGGCGGCGGCGGCGGCGGACAACTTCCCAGGCTTCTTCATCAGTCTCTATCAGGTCCAATGATTGGTCAGCTGAAGCATCAGATTCCGGCTCCTGTTGTATTACCACTTCCGCCGCCGCCACCACCGCCTCCGGCGCCGCAATTTACCGCCGTGTCACTTCCTCAGCCGCCACCGCCTTCTTTTCATGCTCAGACAGTATTGCCCACAGTAGGTACCTTGATCTTCTCTCTCTTCTTTACTCCTTGATGGTTCCAAGTTGGGATCTTTCTTATATTTTTGGAAACTTTTCGACATTTCGATTAAAACCCACATGAAAATTTACGCTAATCTGTTGGATGAAACTGTAACATATCAAAAAGTTGCGACATTTTATGGTACCATGTTCAAACGAAACAAAAAGGTCCGAGCTTTTTGAATGTATATAACCTAATTTCAACATTGTTAGCGTCACACAATTTTCATGTAAATGAGAAGAAAATATCACATCTTTACGGATTTATAGACTAATACAAGCATGGGTCCGTATGTTTTCGACATTCTTGAAGGTGGGTCGTAGTAGCTCAGATTCTGATACGGGTGAGTCTCTAGACACGTCATCGCCGGCGAAGCGGAGGAGGATATCGGAGGCGGAAGCTGGTCCGAGCGGCGGCGGCGGGGGGAGCGACGCGGTCGGGGAGGCGATATCGAGAAGCGCGTTTGTGATCGCAGACGCGATTAGGGCAAGCGAGGAGAGACAAGACAAGAGGCACAAAGAGCTCGTGAGTTTGCAAGAGAGGAGGCTGAAGATCGAAGAATCAAAGGCTGAGATGAACAGACAAAGCTTGAATGGATTGATGGACGCCATTAATAAGCTTGCTAATTCAATTCTTGCTTTGGCTTCTTCTCATGATCATGATCATCATCATCATCATCAACACAATAATCAGCAACAAGAAGGTCCACCATAATCATATATATACATATATATATATTGCTTATGGCTATATATAATCACTGATTATCATATTATTATTTAGTTAATGATTTATGAAGAATTTGTATTGATTTTTTTTTATGTTCTATATATATATATGTTGATTCCATGCTAATGAAGCCTCTGATTAAGTGTAATCTATCACATTTTTTTTGTTCATACATTGGGTTTGAAATGCTCCAACTGTCTGCTGTTCTGTTTTTTTTTTTAATTTATAAAATTTTCTTTTATTGTTTTAGTTGTGAATTTGGTCAAACCAATTTATTGTTCTGTAATCAATCTGTATTGGTCAGTCAATGTAGGATTTTGTCTTGGTTCTGTCTGATTTTGAGTCATATATACACATGCAGTAAAATATTTCATTGTTTTTCCCCCCTTAATATCATATTCTAAAGATCCTTAGATTGATTATTTTTCTCACCATAATTAATTAAAGAAATTAAGGTGTATATATATATATATATTATCATCTCTCTTAAACAAACATAATACACTGTTTTTTTGTCCTAATTAAGAAGGTTAAAAATTAAAACTTTCTCAAATTCTCATTGATCTTAGCTAGAGAGTATAACTACTATATATGTGAGATATATGAATTAAACAGATAAAACATTAGCATTAGATATTTTGTTTTATATGTATGTATGTATGTATGTATGTATGTATGTATGTATGTATGTATGTATGTATGTATGTATGTATGTATGCATGTATGTATGTATGTATGTATGTATGTATGTATGCATATATGTATGTACGTATGTTTGTATGTATGTATGTATGTATGTATGTATGTATGTATGATTCTTGAGTATATATATCACCACTTTTCAAACTGTGGGAATTTGGGTGATGTACCATGAGAGTGGTGCAAGATTGTGTGATCTTGATAGCTAATCATGCGCTGATCATAGTCATACTTTTGGATAATTAGGGTGAAAGCGTTGTGTGGTGCACGCGCCGGCGTGGGCGAGTGGGGTAAATGGGGACGGGAATCAGAGAAACTGAGAGGAACATTAACACAAGAAAGAGAGACAGTGAGAAGTAGATATCAAAGGACACAGAGAGCGAGAGAGAGAGAGAGAGAGAGAGAGAGAGAGAGAGTGGTCAAAAGAAGAGAGAGAGGGTGGTCAAAGGAGAGTACTGTTTGTGACCATTCTTGAAGGTATTATTGGTGGGTTCTCTCTCTCTCTCTCTCTCTCTCTCTCTCTCTCTCTCTCTCTCTCTCTCTCTCTCTCATACACATATAACCTCTCTGCCATGTTTGTTTTTGGCTATGTATTCTCTCTTCCCGCTGCACCAAAGCCTGCCACAAAGGCCCCTTGTGGGGAGTGGGGGTTAATTGGTTCTCTTTCTTTCCTTTTCTTTTTCAAAATTTTCCACAACTCCCAAATTCTCCATTCATGTTGAGATACGAGGCAGACTTTATGCCACGAATCTCGGTCGTGAATCGTTACAATTAAGTACCCTTTTGAAATCAATAATATAACCTAATGGGTATATTATTAGGGGTGTCAAATGAGACAACTCAGATCGTTTGATGTTCGGCTCGTTTGGTTCGGATCGTTTTGGGCTCAACTCGTCAGGTTCGTTTTCTAACGAATCAGAAAAACCTCGACTCAGATCGCTCGCCAGTTTTCCGAGCTGAACGAGTCACCTCGTTGAGCCAGAGATATATAATATTTTTTATTTATATTTATTCTAAATTTAACTATAAATTTAATTAAATACATAAATTTTTTTTAATAAAACTCCAATATCATTTAATATTTTCAATTATCACCATCAAAATAATTAGGATATTTATAATATCATATGAATGATATGAGAAAAAAATAAATATAAAATTATATTAGAGATTTTTATATAAATTTAATTTATTTTAAAAAAAAATCAGCTCGTTGAACAGCTCGACAGCTCGTCGAGCCAGGCTCATTGAACACGTGTTCAATGAGTCTGGCTCGGTAGGTTCATTTTTTAATAAGCTGAAAAAATTACAGATCAGATCGCTCGTTTTCTGGCGAGCCACGAGCCAGCTCGCGAGTCGGGCTCATTTTGATACCCTATATATTATGTATATATGTTTAGGAAAGAAAGCCATTAGAGAAAAAAAATTATTAACTGTTGCTTTAGATTGAGATAGAAGTCATGCTTTAGATTGAGATGGAAGTCAGAGTTTTAGGAAAAACTCGGAACCGAAATTTTTTAAAAAAAAATAAATATATTTTTTTAGAGAATCAAAATTTTCTAAATTAAATCGAACCGAACCGAATCATTTTTTTAAAGTAAAAAACCCAAATTGATTTTTTTTAAAATATAAAAATTTCTAAATAATATTAAAACCGAACCGAACCCAATATAATATAATAATCGATTGGTACATATTTTTTATAGAACCGAAAAAACTGAACCGGATAAACGTCCACCCTAGTTGTGATTGTTTTGTTTACGAAAACATGTATATATGTATGTATGTATGTATGCTCATACATATAATAAATCAACTTGAAAAAAAGATCAAACTAGTAATATGGGATCATATGTGAAATGCCATAAGAAAAATATGTGAATGCCTAGTCTCCTTATTTACGGTTGGTATATGTTATTTGTCGCACCTTAAGAATGTTATAAACATTATTGAAAAAAAAAAGACTTATGAATTGTAGTGTACACAAATTTTTTGGATCATCTATATATCAAATCTCTAAAGATGATTAAAACCCTAGAAAAATTTAGAGATAAAACATAACAAGATAGAAAATATATAAAGTCTCATGAAACAATTTTCTTATATATACACAAGTTTATTTCAACAATATAATTTAACGAAATCGTTACAAACCATTTAATATCGTTGATGAATTCGATATATATGACACATAAGTTTACTTCAACAATATAATTTAACGAAATCGTTACAAACCATTTAATATCGTTGATGAATTCGATATATATGACACATAAGTTTACTTCAACAATATAATTTAACGAAATCGTTACAAACCATTTAATATCGTTGTTGAATTCGATATATATGACCGATAATTCCATGTATTAAAAATGCATGTTATATATATGATAAATTAAGGAAATGCAGTTGGCTCCATATTTATTGAATTTTCAAAATAAATAAACAAAATAATTCAATATTTGTCTGAATATTAAAGTATATAATTTCATGGAAGAAAAATATAAAAAATGTTGTAATAAGTGAAATCCAAAGTTTAAGTGATTTTATTGTAAAAAACCCAATAATAAATTTATTATTATTATTATTATTATTATTATTATTAAATGAAATAATATAAAGGAGCCTATTACTTTAATGGGCCTGTTTGGTAGGCTAAGGCAGGCACTCTATTGCAATGGTTCTGATAGGGGGGGGGGGCCTAAGGCCTTTCTATTTAGTAATTTAAAAAACTAACTTAAAAACAAACAAAAATTTATATATAATATATATGTTATAAATGAATAGTGAAGCTACGGTACTGTTCACGCAGCCGGGCACTGTTCACGCAGCCGGGTACTGTTCACGC